TCGGAAAGAAAGAGGGGGATTCTCGGTACCTAATCTGAAGTTATACTTTGAGGCTTCCTGCCTCTGCTGGATTAGAGATTGGATAAATTTGGAAGACACCGATCTGTTAGACTTAGAAGGCTTCAACAACAGGTTCGGTTGGCATGCCTATTTGTGGCTAAATAAAGAAAAGGTACATAAAGGTTTTTCAAACCACATTATTAGAGGGCCACTATACGAAGTTTGGGAGAAAAATAAAAAACTTCTGGAATGGAAAACACCCTGGTGGTTATCCCCAATTGATATTTTAACAACCAAAAAAGCAAATATGGAAGGAGATAGACTGACATATGAAGACCTACTGATAAGATCAGAGAGTGGATGGAAATTGAGAACATATGAGGAGTTGAAAGACAAACTAACAGGCTGGCTGCAATTTCATCAAATAAACGCAGTATGGAAGGAAGACAAAAAAGTAGGGATAAACGAGAAAAAATCTAAATTCCAGATAGAAATAATTGAAGGTAAATCCAAGTTATTATCTAAAATGTATAACATATTATTAGATTGGGACACTAAAGATGAAGAAATAAAGGAGGTCATGACAAAATGGGCAATGGACTTGGGATACAATATAGAATATGATAAGTGGTTGAAATTATGGACTAGTGGAATGAAATTCACGGCATGTGTCTTACTCAGAGAAAATTTGGAAAAAATGATGTATAGGTGGTACATCACACCAGCAAAACTAGGGAAAATGTACAGAACAGGAAATAAGGCTTGCTGGAAGTGTAAAATCAAAGAAGGCAATTTCTACCATATGTGGTGGACCTGCAAAATAATGAAGAAGTTCTGGGAACTTATTTATAATGAGTTTAAAAAAAAAATTAAATATACCTTCCCTAAAAGACCAGAGGCCTTCTTACTAGGAATAATTGGGGATGAAATCAAAAAAGAAGATAAGACATTATTCCAATATGCCACAGCCGCCACTAGAATATTAATTGCACAAAATTGGAAAAGCCCAAATACCCCAATGATCAGAGATTGGCAAACAAAATTATATGAATATGTTGATTTAGCAAAAATGACACAAAAAATCAGAAACCAAAAAAATACAAAGTTTATTAGTGACTGGAATAAATTTATGGTATACATTGAAGGAAACTACAGAGACTTAAAAACTGTAGCAGTTTTGATATAAGTCTTACGACGCGTAAACCACTAACAATTAATAGCTGCAGAAAAAAGAAAGAATTTTTATTAAGAAGCCCGAAATCAGGAGGGAAGGAGGTCAATGGGTGTGTAGAGAAAAGGTTTAAATATCTTAAGATATAAAGATTCAAGGAAGAAGACAAAGAACTGTAATGGATGTTATCTTTGTGCTATGTATGGATATTTCTTTTGGATTTGTTGATTTGTTTTTTTTTCTTTTGGTGTGTTTTTTTAAGAGAAACTCAATAAAAAGAAATTAAAAAAACAAAAACAAAATAAACCTCAACATATAAACAATCCCAAAAATGTAAATTCCATTTACACTCAGAACAAAGAATGTCCTAACAATGTTAGAAGAAATAATGGCGCGCATTATACGTCAAGTTCTTTTAATACCAAAGTAGGCCAGCTGTAGTAAACCCATAATGACCTATACATCTGTCCATCAGCACCATGCTTAAGATGTTTCGAAAAGGAACTAGGTTTCTTATTCTGCAACATCCTTGCATCACTCTTCTTCCTCCTCTGTTCAGAACGCAAAACAACTGCAAGCAACATCTGGCTGGATCGCATGAAACGTAATTGAGCAACTGCTTACAATTATGCTCACTCAGTGGATGGAATGATATGATGCAGATTTGGAGAGCAAGCAAGATAATGTCTTGCTGAACATTTGTTCCCTGCGCCTGGAGATTCTGTTGCACTTTCTCTGGAGGTCATTTAGCCAACGGGCATAATAGTTCAAGTTCGGCAACGCAAAACTGATGAACCCTATATCCTGGAGGGTCAGACAAACTCAAAACTTATACACACATATTAATCATTATAATGAGAGTGGTTTGATTTCTTATCCACCCTTCACTGCAAGGTCCCAGGGTGGGTTACAGATATTTGATGCACAATATTATGCGCAAACTTGTTTTCTCCTGCTCTGGAGTGTAGGACTTGAACCAATGGCTTCAGGTTACAAGAAAGGAGATTCCAACTGAACATCAGTAAGAACTTTCTGACTATAAGAGGTGTTTGACAATGCAACTGATGCCCACAAGAGTTGTGGGCTCTCCCTCCCTGGGGGTTTTAAGCAGAAGTGAGATGGCCATCTGTCGTGGATGCTTTAGTTGAGATTTCTGCATTGAAGGCTGGTGATGATTCTTGCCATCCCTTCCCACTCTACAGTTCTATGATTCTATTAGGAACAGCAACAACTGATTGCAATGAAGAGACTAGGGTCCCGTAAAGGGGGGAGAGAGAAAGAGAAAGAGAGAGAGAGGAGTTAGTTGCCAGGATAAAGATGTGTGTCTTCAGAATATGATGAAAACTACATACAGAAAGTGCCAGGCATACCTCTGTGGCAAAGTAATTCAACAGCTATGGGGCTGCCACAGAAATTGCCCTCTTGCTGCCACCCCCTCAGCTTCTGAGAACAAGGGAGTTACTAGGAGGGCCACCTCTACTGACCTTAGACCTCAAGAGGGTCTGTAAGGAAGGAAGCCTCTCATACACCACTGACAGGTGCTACACACCTTTAGCTACCTAATCCTTACTCAGATACGTACTCTCCGATATGCTAATGCATAGGCAAACTCGGCCCTCCAGATGTTTGGGGACTATAACTCCCATCACCCCTAGCTAACAGGACCAGTGGTCAGGGATGATGGAGGTTGTAGTCTCAAAACATCTGGAGGGCTGAGTTTGCCTATGCCTGTGCTAATGTGTTGAGGGTGGAGGAAGACCACATCTCTTGGCCTTGCCCCCTGTGGGGAACAGCAGTCTCCTAGAAACTCTCAGCACCCTCAACAAATGACAGTTCCCAGGATTATTTGGGGTAGCCATGACTATGACTGCCTAACGTGGTACGATACTGTACAGCAAGGTTGCCCTATTTCAAAAAGTTAAAATCCAGACTCAATCTGCAAAATCTCAAAAAAAAAAACCACCCCTGAGTTTTTGAGCTATTTGTAATGAAATTCACCAAAATCTGCACTTCCAACACGGACTGCCGTACTTCCGGATTTTCCCAGACATTTCAGTGCTTTCTGCTTCTTGCAAACGCCGGTTATGTCTGAGAAATTCTGGACATGTGGCAACCCTACATATAGTGCAGATGGGGCATGTGTTTAAATGCATTTAATGGCGTTGCTTTTTTTAGTGAGCAGTTGGATAGACTTAGACACTTATATATCCACCATTGACAAAGGGACAGGGATTGTCATTCTTAAAAGTAGAATCCACAAAAAGGTTGGGGAGAGATCTCCTTGAAGGGGCTTAGAACCCTGAGCCACTGCACCACACAGGAGTTATGCCTGCCCTACCCCATAATTCTCAAATCACAGGTGCATATTTATTTATTCCAGCCGTGAATGTTCCACTGTGGGTGTTCACTTGATTTAACCAATTTTATGAGGATCATTTAAGCTTCTTGTTGTGAGCAGCTTTGTGTTAAGGAAAGCAATATTTTGAAACCTATTTACAGACAACAGGGACAAACTCTGAAGTCTATATTCTATTCTGCAGAAACACAACCTGCCTCCTCGGCGCAACAGTGACACCCACACTTAATAGCAAATCCAAGAAATATCAGAATCCAGGGTCATCGTTTTAATCAGACTAAATATGTGCTGTGCTGCAGCAGTACAAAAAGAACTGCCAGCCCAACCACACAGAGCAGTTTTGTGCACTTAACAACAACAACAACAACAACTTATTTATACGCCACTCATCTGACTGGATTGTCCCAACCACTCTGCGCGGTTTCCAACAAACTAAAACACTGTAAGACATCAAACATTAAAAACTTCCCTATACAGGGCTGCCTTTAGATGTCTTATAAAAGTCAGAAAGTTGTTTAGTTGCTTGACATCTGATGGGAGGGCATTCCACAGGGACTACTGAGAAGGCCCTCTGCCTGGTTCCCTGTAACTGAAAGAGAAATGGGGAGATTTGCTCATTCCTACACTGCACCAATTTTATATACTGAATGGCAAAGTTTTTCCTGGAGTGTCCCATTTCAGGCTGCGGGTATCTGGGGAATAGTAGCAAGGGAGGTCAGTGGTTCAAATCCCTGTGACGTGGTGAGTTCCCGTTGCTCAGTCCCTGCTCCTGCCAACCTAGCAGCTTGAAAGCAAGCCAAAAGTGCAAGTAGATCAATAGGTACCACTCTGGTGGGAAGGTAAACGGCGTTTCTGTACGCTGCTCTGGTTTCGGTGTTCCGTTGTGCCAGAAGCGGCTTAGTCATGCTGGCCACATGACCCGGGAAAACTGTCTGCAGAGCAGACAAACGCCAGCTCCCTCGGCCAGTAAAACGAGATGAGCGCCTCAACCCCAGAGTCGTTCACAACTGGACTTAACTGTCAGGGGTCCTTTACCTTTATTGCTTTCTTCTGGGGGGAAGCATTCCCCTAAACATTTTGTGGATCTAAGTTTGGCCTCATTGAGAGGCGGTATTTCAATATGACTAGGAAAATGAGAGTACCCCCTAAATATTTTTTTTAGAAAAAAAACACTGAATATTCCCGTATGACAAACAAACTCATGGTCTATAGAGAATTAGTATGTGAGGGCAAAAGGCTTCACCCAGACTTCTGGCATACAATCTTTTCACTTGCATATAATTTATTTGTCATGGCAATAAGCGTTCAGAGATGCAGCACTTACACTTGCAGTCTGAACTGGAGCAGCCCAGAAAGTGCCCCAACGAACCCCCTGGATTCTGAAAATGCATTCACTTAAGTGGACTTAGAATCACAGAATTGTAGAATTGAGGATCATATATTTCAACCCCCTGCAATGCAGGAACATGCAATTGTCCCATACGGGGATCGAACCTGCAACCTTGGCATTATCAGCACCACACTCCAGCCAACTGCGCTATTAAAACAGATCCTTCATTGTGCAGTCACACAAAACAGAACCAACAAGAAGATGAGTAAAATATCACAATATGCAAAATATATCCAAATAGCTTTGTAATACATAAATGATATCTGGAGTGATTAAAATACATCTTATTATAAACTATGGAAGTTAAGAGTGAGTCAAATAAATAAATAACAGCATGACAAGATTATAAATAAAAACAGCACCCAGACAGCATAGGTTTAATAATTTGGGGGCAGTGTCCTTTTCATATTTTTGCAGCCAGAAAGAGAAATAATAATAATAATTTTATTATTTGTATTTTTGCCGTATTTCTATCTTGCCTGTCTTCCAAGGAACTCAGGGTACAGTACATGGTTCTCTGCACTCCTCCCCCAATATTATCTTCCTAAAAACCCTGTGAGAAAGGCTTAGTGTCATACAGTGAGCCCAGGAGTGCCAACTTGCCCCCGCGCCCGTGGGTGCCCAGGGTCATGGGTGCCATACAGCATGCATGGCTCTGACACTGCCTTTGTGGGTGCCCAGCCCCTTCATGGGGAATTTTTTGGGTGCTCAGGCACCCAAGGCCCCAGGGAGCTATGCAAGAGTCAGAATTTGAACCCGGGTCCCTCTGGTCCAATTCTGAAATGCTAACCATTGTGTCATGCCAGCTTACCATGCCAGTCAATGCTCCCCACTCCCCGTGTATACATCCCTTAGACATAACAGTTGTTGCCAATTGTGCTGGCACACTTTCCTAACAGCCGCTTTTCTGCATCTAGTTACACAGAGCATAGGACTCCAGCAAATGTGAGTTTTGCAGATCCACTGTGATGTGACAAGTTTCACCCACCCAAACTCCCCCTTTCTGCACACCTATGCTGTCTATTGTCAGCCCATTGCTGAAAGGTTGTTGCTCATCGACAATTATTTTCAAAATAGCATTTGAGAGAGTATGCTTGTCTTGGCACCATAAGACAACTGAGGCTGTCACCCTAAGCATCTTTTCAAAGGAATAAGGTCCACTAAAATCAATGGAATATTTATTGATTTCTGTGGAGGCAGATCTCTGCCTAAACTTCTTTCAGGTGTGTTTATTTTAATAACTTCTGACCTGCCCTTCATCCAGATGGATCCAAGGATGGTGTGTGTGTGTGTGTGTGTGTGTGTGTGTGTGTGTAGCAATAAAAGCAAGACATCAACCATCATCAAAAAATTAAATGCCCTAGAAGACAACAGAAAAGCAGCCTGAATAGGAACAGAACACTTTCAAAATGCTTGGGCAAACAAGGAAGTCTTAACCTGGCACCAAGAAGATTGCACTGTGTCAAATACAAGTCCAGCCTCTCCAGGGAGACTATTCCAAAGTCAAGGGGCCACCACAAAAAAGCCCATGCGCGTGTTACACACTTCAGAAAGTGACAACACTCAAGAGAAAGGCCTCAGCTAAAGATCTTACTGTATAGGCAGGAAAATATGGGAGGAGATGTTCATACCGGTATACGGACCCCCAAGCTGCATACAGAATGCAAACTGTGGGGCCATAGAGCTAAGATATATATACAGTAAGCAGAGCTCCAAAACTACTCAAACAACAACAGCAACTGGCAACACTGTGCCTAGAAAGAATGTATACACTTGCCAAACCTCAAACCAACACATAAAGATGTCCAAGCCTTCCTCTCCACCCCCACCATAAAAGCATGCAGCTCAATATTTCTTGATCCCATACCTCATGCATTTCAGCGATTATTGTCCTTGTTTGTGTTTTAATCTAATGAATGCCAGAAAATTCAGAAAAGGAAAATGCTTTGCAAGTACGGAGAGTTTATAAGGTGGGCTTGGCCTACTCGGCAGTTCATATGCATGTCAGTAGCTTTTGAGGGAGAAACCCCAAACCTTGAATCCCTCTAGTTTTCAAATCAAGGAAGGAAGGGATTTTTGACTGGTGGGGATGTGGGAGTGAGAGAGAGACTGAAGGAATTGAATGCAAGGAAGTTTACAACCAGGTGGGTATTGTAAGTGGAAATCACTGGTACACAAATGTTTCTATACAACCAGGGACACTATAACAGCTGTTTTGAATTCACAAGAACATCAGAACTGGAGGCATTTTTGTCACATATTCTGAAGGGGGGTTGGAACAGAGTAGTGTGCTTGCTCCCCCCCCCTCTCTCTCCAAGTTAAAGGGCCAGCAACCGTTGTCCAAATCAGTCTTTAACTGATTTGATATACCAAAAGGCAAGGACATGTTGGATTAACACATACTCACTCTAGGAAGACACCTAAGCTTGAAAGGTCTAACCTTGAATGGCATGCAATGTAAACACAATGAAAAAGAACAGGAAACCCAAGGCCAAAAAGTTGTGTGAAACTGATTTGGGGAAAGGGAGTGAATGAAATTGACAAAACCAAGAAATTAGCCCTAAGATATGGGGGTCAAGGGGGAGGGGGGAAGAGATGGAAGGAAGCCGGGAAATAATGGTATTATGTTAACCCTCAACTGTCAGATTTGGAGAGGGGGGTGCCACATGCTTCTTCCACAACTCCTGTTTCTCTTGCACACCACAATTGTGACAATGTGCATAGTACTGGCATTGTCTTTCAGCGATACCAGTCTGATTTCCTCTCCACAAGAAATCATGTCAAGGTAAGATCTCACCCTGCCCATCATCTTCCAACTTGCCCTTTCTTGATGTCACACACATACCCCTTTCTCCCCAGGAGAAATCAAACACTGAAGGAGAAAAGTGCATTGTGGGGAGGGAGGGGGAAGAAAGCAGCACACGGCAAGTGTTGCGTGGAATAAAGAGAAGTCTCCACTTGTCCACACCAGACACACAAAAGCACTTTTTTTTTTGCAACGAGAAAGAAGGGGAGAAAGGGGATTAAGGCGGCATTGACAACCGGGTTCCACTTGCAAGCAGCCCTTCAGATGACAGCCAGGGGATGTTCTTTTGCACATCTATTCAGACACACACCCCTTTTTCATTCCATCCATGCTTTAAAGGGCCAGCAAATAAATAAACCAACCCTTCTGGAGCATAAAGGAGATGCAAGTCCAATGCCGTTGCCCGTCTCTCCTTCTGCCCCCCCCCCCCCCGCCATCTCCAAGTTCCTCCAAGCCCCTCCTCTTCCCACCCCCCTCTCGCTCGCAATGAATACACCCCGATTCCCTCCCCACCTCCGAACACATAAAGCACCACCACCACTCCCCAACAGCTGGAGAGAGCGAGGGGAAAGGGGGGGGAGAGACACCCAGCCAACTCGCTCCTCAAAGCAGCACATCCATCAAACTGCAGCCCAAACAAAAATAAATATACTCAGCGCACAGCAAGGCAGGGGAAGAAGCCACCTCGACCTATAAATATTTGGAGTAGCCAAGGGATTCGGGGGCGGGCGCAAAGAGAGAGATGGGGATTCCTGGTCTGCATTGTTATCCCAGCAGTAGGGACCAGAGGAGAGGAAAGAGGACCCCCCTCCCTCAAAGTGCACACCCTCCTTCCTCGACGCACACACCCCTCTCTGCTGCCATTACCCCCCACCCACCCACAGTCAGCAAACAATGAGCGAGAGGGCAAGCCCGGCCGCCCCCTCCCCTTCCGGGATTCCCTAGAATATAGCCCCGCCGCCGCCACCCCCGACGGGGAGCCCGGGCGCCCTCACCTCCAAGGCTTCCAGCGTGACGAAGCTGGCCAGGGCAAAGCCATCGATGATGTCCTCCTCGGGCGAGGAAGACTCCCTCCGCTTCCTCCTGGGGGGCTTGGGCCGGCACGTCGGCGGCAGCGGCGGCTTGCCATTGTTGTCGAGCTCGGAGCCCGAGGAAGAAAGGACGGACGGGGCGGGGGGCGTCCGCCTCGGCTCCGCCGCCACCACCACCAGAGCCGCCCCGCCGGGAGAAGCAGCAGCAGCAGCACCTTGTAATAATCCGCGTTTGGAGCGCCTCGCCCGGTCGCGCTGCGAGCGGGAGCGCCGCTTCTTGCGAAAGCCGTTGCAGAGTGTGGGGCCGTCCATGGCTCGCTCGCTCTCGTCGCAACAACAGGGCCCCCCCACCCCCGGACAACTCCACACTGCCTTCGCCCTCCCTCCCTCCTGCTCTTCCCCCCACCTACCCACCCCCTCCAACTTCGTCTCCCCCCACCCCCCGGTGGAATACAGGGAGGGAGGGAGCGAGGGAAGGGGGGGAGGAAGAAGGAGAAGGAGGGGGGCAAGAAAGGGAGACTCCCAAGGAATGTCAGCACCCGGGGGGGCGGGCGAGAGAGATGTCGAGAGATTCCTCCGAGCAAACCCAGGAAAGTAATGGCTGGTCACTGGTCTTCCTTGGGAAAAGAGATATGTGTAATTCCTTCCAACCTCGGCAGCAGAAAATAAATTAGAGGAACAGAATGCCTTGATCCAAAGGCAAAGACAGGCAAGCGTGAGGAGGGGTGTGTGTGGCGGGGTTGTCTCCTGATTCCGCACCCCCCCTTTTTGATTTTTTTTAATCCATTGAGGGGGGGAAGGGGGGGAGACAAACTATTCCTCCACCCGAGAGGTTGGCTCCTTTCTTCTTTTCATGCTTGCAGAATTGAAGGCAGCGACCACGTAAATATATATGGATATATTCACACACGTATAAGTAAATGGAACTCTTTCCCCGCCCCGTTAGATGCTTTGGATTAAACAGGGAGAAGTTGCTTCCGATTTGGTGGTGTGTGTGTGTGGTTTTTTTTCCCCGTCCCCTCCGCCTTGTCTTGTTTCACGCCGGAAAATCTCCTCGTCGTGGTTCAATCCGGTGGGGCGAGCGAGAGAAGAAAACCCTCCAGCTGGAATAGACCGACGCACCTGGAATAGGTCGAGTGGGTGCCCTGCCAGCGCAGAGACACCCACCTGCTTCAAGTTTCCCCCTCCAACCCGCACCCTTGGGCCCTTCTTTCTCCAGGTTAGCGCTGCCTGCCCCCCCCAAAAAACCCCACCCCTCAACCCCCCAGAGATGGATCCCCAGCAGCCTCCTCAAAGTCGCACAGCCCGAGGTGGGGAAGAGTTCAGCGCCACGGAATCCACGCCGAGCATCCAAGAATCCAAACACAAAGGAAATTGACAAGCTCCTTCTTTCTCTCTCTTTCCCCCCCTTCTCTCTCTCTTCCCTTTCTCCTCCCAGGAGAAGCCACACAGCCGAAAGGAGGAGAGCGGAGAGGTGCTGCTGGAGGAGATGGAGAGGCAGGGGGGTACACGCCAAACAGCCACCACCACCCCAAATAAATGTCTCTGGTGGTGGGAGAGGGGGGCAGGAGGAAAGGGGCTGCTGGCTCTCCGGGAAGCTGCCTCTCCTCCAGACTGGGGAGGGGGCGACAACGTAACGGCACGAGAAGGGGCCAAGAGATACAGGATCCTTCCCTGGGGGGCTGCTGCTGAAGATAAGAGAAGATGTAATCTCGGTTTGGCTCTCCCCGCACGCCTCCGGCAGCGGCAGCAGCAGCTGGGATCCAGCCCCTTTCACATCTTCCCTACCTTTCTGTGTGTGTCTGCCTCTCTCTCTCTCTCCCTCCCCCTCGGTCACATGACTAACTTTCCTCTCTCTTCCCCCACCCCACCCCCCGTCCATCCCCACCGCGCAGGGTGAAAGAAAGCTCCCCTAGCCGCGCGAAATAAGTTGCAGGCATGCGCGCCGAGTTTGCGCGCTGCCTCTGCGCTCTGCTCCATTCCAGCCCAGAAGGAATGAATGGGGAAGGGAATTCTCGCGGGAGCCTCTGGCCCTTTAACGCGGCGGGGGAGGGAGAGAAGGGGGCGGGGTCGTGGTAAGGAAGGTTGATTGCTGCAGAGAGGGCTGCTTGATGCCTTGCAAGAGCTGGGAGGGGGCAAGGACTTATGTGCCTTGAGCCACTATATGAAAAATGCAGCAATTCAGCCAGTGAAGTGAAGGGGGGGGGGAATGAATATCCACTAGTGAATGAAAGAAAGAAATCCAATGTCATCCACTGGATAGCAAGCAAAGTTGTACCTGAGATATTTTAATAATACAGTGGTACCTCAGGTTAAGAACTTAATTTGTCTGTTCTTAACCTGAAACTGTTCTTAACCTTAAGTACCATGTTAACTAATGGAGCCTCCCACTGCCACTGCGCGCTTTCTGTTCTCATCCTGAAGCAAAGTTCTTAACCCGAGGTACTATTTCTGGGTTAGTGGCGTCTGTAACCTGAAGTGTCTGTAACCCGAGGTACCACTGTAATAATAATAATAATTGTTGTTGTTGTTTAGTCATTTAGTCGTGTCCGACTCTTCGTGACCCCATGGACCAGAGCACGCCAGGCACTCCTGTCTTCCACTGCCTCCCGCAGTTTGGTCAAACTCATGCTGGTAGCTTCGAGAACACTGTCCAACCATCTCGTCCTCTGTCGTCCCCTTCTCCTTGTGCCCGCAATCTTTCCCAACATCAGGGTCTTTTCTAGGGAGTCTTCTCTTCTCATGAGGTGGCCAAAGTATTGGAGCCTCAGCTTCAGGATCTGTCCTTCCAGTGAGCACTCAGGGCTGATTTCCTTAAGAATGTATAGGTTTGAACTTCTTGCAGTCCATGAGACTCTCAAGAGTCTCCTCCAGCACCATAATTCAAAAGCATAATAATAATAATCCTATTAATAATAAACCCATCAAGTGGGTTGCCCCGGCGGCTCTGGGTGGCTTCCAACAAATTTAAAATTTAAAAGCATCCTAAAACATCAGACATTAAACCTTCCCTATACAGGGGTACCTTCAGGTGTCTTCTAAAAGTTGTGTAGTTATTTATCTCCTTGACATCTGGCAGGAGGGTGTTCCACAGGGCGGGTGCCACTACCGAGAAGGCCCTCTGCCTGGTTGCCTGTGACCTCACTTCTTGCAGGGAGGAAACTGCCAGAAGGCCCTTGGAGCTGGATCTCAGTGTCTGGGCTGAACGATTAGGATGGAGATGCTAAAGCTATTTAAAGGTCAGCACCAATACTTTCAATTGTGCTTGGAAAGGTACTGGGAGCCAATGTTTGTTACATGGTCCTGTCCAGTGCTGTTTTTCTAGAAAAAGAGGTGCCGGAACTCACCGTGAACACCTCCCTTGTTCTCTTATCATGGCAATGGCAACCAGAGTTCCAGGCAGGAGACATTCCCAGCCCATCAATAACAAATGAACAATAACAAACAGGAGGATCCAATCGAAAAGATGTGACACGAACGTGGCGAGGAGTGAAGAGCGGGGAAAGCAAAACTCAGGCACTGATTCATAGAATCAAAGAATTGATTGGAAGTGACCCCTGAGGATCAACTAGTCCAGGGTTTCCCAAACCTGGGTCTCCAGCTGTTTTTGGACCACAGTTCCCATCATCCCTGACCACTGGTCCTGCTAGCTAAGGATGATGGGAGTTGTAGTCCAACAACAGGTGGAGACCAAGTTTGGGAAACCCTGATCTAGTGCAACCCCCTGCAATGCAGGAATATGCATTTGCCCCATCGAACCTGCAACCTTGGCGTTATCAGAACCACGCTCTAACCAACTGAGATTTCCAAGTGGTTATGTAGCAACTGCACAGATATAAAATGAATATGCTATAGTAAACATAAATATTGTAGCTTTATAAATATATATATATAAGGCTCTGTTTATTCTTGGCCCTGGCATACCCATGATTTTGTTGCCTTACTAGGGGCTATCTGTAATTAATGTGGCCTCTTCATCAGTGTCTGAATTAATTATGAAGTGGAACCTGTAATTAATTCAAAGGACAAATTAATTACAGAGTAGGACCCAGCAGTTCCGCCCATCCCTGTATTCAGCTGGTCAGTTCCGGTCATTAATGCAGGATTTATTTATGTTTTGCTTGGATGGAACGCTAAGGATTTGTTCTATAGGCATTTGGAAGAGCCTACCATAGCAAAAGTGCTCCTCCTTTTTATTTGGAGCTGATAAATTGATGGCACCTATGCAAACATGTAATGGCAGAGTCTTTTTTTTCTGCTGAACAGCCCTACAATGGCTAATTATCAACAGAGTGTTACTTTAAAAAGAAATGCAAATATGAGAAAGACAGACAGAAGAAAGAAAGAAAGCTCATGTTAACAAGCAGAGTAATCAATCCTAAGTTAATCATATATATTAATATAGGCACTCTGTATGTCGAAACAGATATGCAAAGAAGAAATGTTTTGGGTTTTTTGTAGAAATATGAGTAATAAGCTGGTGGTACTTGTATCTTGAGTACCTTGTCAAATGCCATTGCTACCCCTCCCATCTCCCTCAACCCACCTCTACTGAATTTGTGATTAAATGGTAATTAAATGTCGATTATAAAAATAAAAAATGACAATTTAAAACATTTAGCATTTTCTAGATACTACTCATTACATTGGGTTTTAAAGAATTAAATAAAATGAAAACATATCAGAATTAGGGTTTCAATGTGGTACCAATCACAAAATGGCCAGTATGTGTTAACACAAAATGGCTGCTGTGGAGTATGGCTTAACACAAAATTAGATGCTTAAGAATTTTTTTTTTTGCTGTGACATGCATCACTTTACATTAGTTTACACCGAATTTCATTTTATTGCACATTCATTCAATCAGAAGAGGTCCTTTTGAAATATTGTCACCAACGGCTGCCACTGGGCATATCTGTGGCTGATTCGCTCTCTTTTTCCATGCACAAGAGTTTGGAAGGATGGCCGGCAGACTTACCCGGGCAGCCATTTTGTGCTGGCACCAAGAGCAATTTCATCAAGATAGGAATACCATTGATCTGACCATGGCCTTGTCCTCAAAGCAGGGATGAGAGTGGGGTGGTGGACATGCTAGCACATGGGCAGGAGAAGAGCCCGGGGGCCGGATGCAGCCCAAATGCCTTCTAAATCTGGCCCGCGAATGGTCTGGGAATCAGCCTGTTTTTACATGAGTAGAATGTGTGCTTTTATTTAAAATGCATCTCTGGGTTATTTGTGGGGCACAGGAATTCGTTCATTTTTTTTTTTTCAAAATATAGTCTGGCCCCCCACAAGGTCTGAGGGACAGTGGACTGGCCCCCTGATGAAGAAGTTTGCTGACCCCTGTGCTAGCTAGTTCCACTGTCTTTGCTATTTCCCAGCCAATCACTGGAGACAAATGTCTTCATCTCCATCTGTGTGGTCTTGGGGGCTCCCTCTGAAGTGTAGCATTTTGCACCTTGCAGGGTACGGGGAGTGTAGAGACTGCCAGCATGTCCCTTCCCTCTCCTCCAATGCTTTTACAGTGGTACCTTGGTTCTCAAACTTAAACCGTTCTGGAAGTCTGCTCCAAAACCAAAGTGTTCCAAACCAAAGCATGCTTTCCCATAGAAAGTAATGCAAAATGGATTAATCCATTCCAGACTTTTAAAAACAACAATTTAACATGAATTTTGCTATCTGAAGAGACCATTGAGCCATAAAATGAAAGCAATAAGCAATGTACTGCAGCCACACAGTCAATCAATCAGTAGCTGAACTGGGTACCACACAGTCACAAAAACAAAACAAAAAAGAGCTGTGAAAACAAAAACACAAAATAAATAGCAAAAACAGACAGAACTCAGCATGGCACTCAAAACGGAGCATGTTCGGCTTCCAAAAAAAGTGTTTGGGTTCCAAGTTGTTTGAGTACCAAGGCATTTGAGAACAAAAGGTACCACTGTAATTTTGTGGGGAAATTGAATGTCTGAGAAGGTCTCCAATTCAGGAGATATGCAACGCAGAACAAATCCACAAACTAGAAAGGGAACATAACAAGGGCAACCCACTCACCTCTGTGCTTAACAAGAGGAAGGCTGAATACAGAACCATTCGCAATGCAGTATTCTGCATGTCCATTTAGACGTGTTCAGGAAATTTGCTTCAGTTTGGGTTGTGCAAACAGTGGCGGACTTGGGTACTATGGCGCCCTGTGCAAGGCCAAAATCTGCCCCCCCCCATGCCCTCACACTGCCTTCCCAAAGGTGGGAAAGGAGGTTGAAGGGCTCTGGCAAGGTCCTAGAGCCCTCCCTTCTCCTTCCCCAAGCTGGAAGGTGCTAACTAGGCTTCCCAAAGCCCAGTACCTCGCTTACCCAGCAATTTCTCAGCTCAGCACCTGCTGATACAGCCCTAAATCAAGCCCTGGTGCAAATGACTCCATGTCTCATTGGAAGAAAATGAAGTTTCAGATGTAATCAGGGTATCACACAAAGATCTTGTAGTACCAAATTTGCAGAGTAGCCTCTGGCATGTGTGAAGAATTTTGTTCCATAGCTGGAAACAGAGAAGGTAACTCATTGCTTGGGGAAATTGCAAGAACCTTGCCCCAAGCAAGAATAATTTGTAACGGCATATCAGAATAAATGTTGAAAAGGCCTTTTATCTGTGTGCAGTACTCTCTGGAGTCAGGAGCGGTTTCTGGGGAGAGAAGGCAGCGGGCGAGAAGGGACCATGAGAGGATGAAGTTGATACATCTGAAAACATGTCCTTAAAGCCTATCCAACTTAGATCTAAGATTGTGTCTGCAATCCTATGTATTTGGAGAGAATAAATCCCCTTGATACCAATTCTGAATACCTATAGGTTGCAAACTTACTTTGTGAGATATCCCCGTATCTGTGTGATCTGCCAGAGCTTCTGAAAGGAAAGTGCATTATGAATAGCCCTTTGGCTGGCGATGATCAGAGAGTCGAAGCATGTTTGGGCACATCACAGCCAGCCAATAATTTCATCAAAGCGTGTTTTGGAGAAAATATAGGACTGTCACTCAGCAAGCACACTCTGAACAGAAGATTGAGGGAAGCTTTCAAAAACCAGTCAGGGAAGGTCCAGTCCAATCCTACCGTACTTCTGTAAGTTGAGAGATGAGCAAGAAGTGTTTACTGTTTCTCGGATCTCCCAGTGGAGATGGAAAAGGAAAGCCCTTCTCACTTTCAAGGGCCTTCATCTAGACACATTCAAGCGGAAATGTCCTTTGACCACCACACCTCTGAGTACCATTTGTTGGAGAACTACACCAGCAGAGGGCTATTGCACTCCCGTCCTGCTTGCGGGGGAAACGTGCTTTAAATGTATGATGTTACACAGGCGAGGAGCCGCTATAAACAGGCAGCCCTGTTTAGGGAAGTTTTTAATGTTCGATTCTATTTTTTATATTCTGTTGGGAGCCGCCCAGAGTGGCTAAGGAAACTCAGCCAGATGGGTAGGGTATAAATAATAAATTGTTGTTGTTGTAATATTATTAAACTAATGAAGTTTAAGGTGCCAGGAACCACCAAGGCAGCAGCCCCATGGGCACCCCATAGCCCCAAACCACTATCAGCTGAAATCGCGTGAGATCTTGCAAGCGCCCAAGGGACTCTGTCATGCAATGGGTCAGTTTGTCTGGCTGTTAACCAGAAGGTCAGTGCTTCGAGCCCAGCCAGGAATGGCTTCCTGTATTGCAGGGGGTTGGACTAGAGAACCATTGGGATCCCTTCCAACTCTATCATTCTAGGATTCTAAGATCTCATGAAATTTCAGCAAAATCAGCACCGATGCCAGCGCTGCTTCTCTGCCAGTGGTGGAGGTGGCAGGGCAGGCAGAGATGTGGCGCCGGCAGCAACAGATATGCCAGCGGCTGGAGCGGCAAAGCAGGGTAAGGTGGCACTTCTCGTTTTGCTTCGAGCAGCGAAATGGGATGTGCCACCCCTGCAATGGGCACTAGCCGCCACTGGGCAGGATTGTCCCGTGATCTTCAGTTCAGCATTGCATGGCAGCCTATAAATAACAGGTACAAAAAGCCTGGCCTGGATTTTCTGTTGCACCTGCTAGCAGTCTGCGTTGCCACGCTGTTGACTCTACCTGCCATTGCACAGTACAGCAGCGGAGATAGTTTCAGTGCCGTTAAAAGATGGCAACTTCATTTGAAAAGGCAAACAGCACCAGCGCTTTTGTTGTTAATACCAGGAGAGAAGATGTTGCTTTTGCAAGACAAGGCTTTGATTTCCCCCATCCCCTTCGCTTTTTATTTATTTATTTTCCTCACAAAGGAACATGTTTCCGTGCTCTCCCTTAAAAGATTCAAAGCCCCTTTTGCTATACAGCAACACACACACACACCGTGGGCTCATTATGTTACAACTATTTTGAATCAAGCTCAGAAGGGGGGCTGTTGTCTCTGACACCCGCAGGAAACACATCTGAGCTGGCTCTACTAGTCCGGCGCCTCAGGAATCTGAAGCAGAGGCGCTCATGCCATTGAGCACCTCTGTTCAGATCCTGACGAGCAGCGGCAGCTACTTCCCATTGAGACCGGTAGGGCAGTAGGCAGGGAGCCAGACAGTAGGTGGCGCCAGACCCAATGACAGCAGTGGTGACTGGTGCCCATTGGTACAGGTGGAGTGAACAGCCAGGAGACCACCAATAGGTGACACCAGAGCCAATCACAGGCAGAGCTCCTCTCTGACTGATTGTGAGCAAGAAGGCAGACAAGTGAGGCTGGTGGCGTTGTGCCCCATTTGCCCGCATAGGTCATTATCCCCTGCTTATGAGCCAAACTGAAGTAGAGAC